TGGCTGCCACAGGGCCCCCCCGGGGAGCTGATCCAGCCCCTGCCGATCCAGCTGCCCAAGAAGAGCAAGCGCTCCATCGACGCCAGCAAGCTGGTGGATGAAGAGGAGGGCGAGGACGGCGAGAGACCGGCCGCTGACCAGGCGTCTCGTGACTATGCTGACGGCATGGAGGAGATCTTTGGCTCCCTCAACTCCCTCAAGCAGGAGATTGAGGGCCTGCGGCGCCCGATGGGCACCCGGGACAACCCTGCCCGCACCTGCCAGGACCTGCAGCTCAGCCACCCAGGCCTGCCTGATGGTGAGCCACACTGGCATTGGGTGGGGGAAGGATGGCGGTGAGTGCGGCAGCACCGCCCCACGCGCTGACCCCTCTCCTCCCTGCACAGGCGAGTACTGGATTGACCCCAACCAGGGCTGCGCCCGAGACTCTTTCAAGGTTTACTGCAACTTCACAGCAGGCGGGGAGACCTGCGTCTTTCCCAGCAAGGACGTACAGGAGGTGAGCGAAGTGGGGGGCAGCTTGGCGTGCGGGGCCCCAGTGCAGCCTCGGGAGGCAGGGTAGGTGGGGATCGGCCACGAGCAGAGGGCGGCGTGGCATGTTCTCCACCTCGCTCATGCCTGTCTCTCCTCTTCCAGGTGAAGGTGTCGGTGTGGGAGAAGGAGGTGCCCCAGCAGTGGTTCAGTCACTTCCAGGAGGGCAGCAGGGTAAGGATGCTGCCAGCTCGTGGGGGGTGGGCTGAGCCCCCTGCGGGCACTGACAGGTGACGTGCGGGAACGCGTTCCCTGCGGGCGGTCTCCCTCCTCGTCCAGGAAGGATGTAGTCCGAGAACACGGGCCCATGTGCCGCTTGCACGTGCCCTCCTGTGTGAGCCCCTGGCACGGCCCCCTGCCTTTCCCAAGCTCCCTGCCTGCACCCCGCCTTGCACCCATTGCCCTCTCCTACAACGCTGTCAGTGCATCCCCAGCCGTTTACCTTGGCACTGTCTCGGGAGCGGCCAGATGCCTCTCTTCCTCTAAGGAGAAAATGTCCCCTGCCTGGCCTTGAACCTGTCAGCCCTTCTGGCCACCTCCCCTCCCCCTACTGCCTCCTCCAGGGGGGTCCAGATCCCAGCAGACCCCCTCCAGCCCCACTCTTCACATGCCTCCGGCCGTTGGCCCCCATTAACTCCTCTCCTGCTCCCGCAGTTCTCCTACACGGACTCAGAGAGCCAACCCCTCGGTGTGGTGCAGTTGACCTTCCTACGGCTCCTCAGCGTCTCTGCCCGCCAGAACTTCACCTACCACTGCCACCGCTCGGTGGCCTGGCACAGCACCACCTCCGGGGACCACCAGCGTGCCCTCCGCTTCCTGGCTGCCAACGAGGAGGAGCTCAGCTATGACACCAGCCCCTACATCAAAGCCGTGACGGATGGCTGTGCGGTGAGCGCGGCAGGGGAAGCAGGCAGGGGTGGGCAGTGGGGAGAGGGACATAAGTGGAGGCAAGATACATGGGGCTGGAGAAGTCACGGGGGCTGGAGGAGTCACGGCGAGAGAAAGTTGAAGAAAAAGGGGTGGGTGAAGGCACAAACAGGTAAGGAGGAGATGAAGTGCTAGAAGGCACCAAGATGGAGGAACTGGGAGAAGGCAGGGTCTTTCTTTTGGGGGTGCCATGAGTGTTGGGTGCCCCAGAGAGGGATGATCCAGCAAAATGCCATGGTCCAGGGAGAAGGCGTGGCTGGACAGAGTCACTCCAGGGTTGAACCTGGGTAATGCCGGAGCATCAGAGGCTGCTGGCTAAAGAGAAGGGTTTGCTCTGCGTGCCCC